AAAAAAAAAAAAAAGAGCCACTAGGCATTTGGTTTACTTTCTTGGCACACCCAGCTCTTTCTCTCTAGACTGCTCTCGCCATGTCCTACACTAATCACAGCAGGCCCCCTGGGGCCATACCTGCACCTTGTTCTCTAAGGCCTAGAGCTGTTGCACCTGCAAGCCTCTCAGACTATCCCCTTTTGGACCTCCACTATTGCCCCCATTTCTCCCTCCCCCCTCCCTGTGGCCTCCATGAGAGCTGCCATCCTAGATACCCTGACTTCTCCCTGGAACCTGCTCCTGTCTTGACTTGCTTTGCTGTCTCAGTCTAGACCCCATGGTTGCTCACTTCAATCCTTTCTTGTCAATGCCCTTGACTTCCTTGACTCTTGGAAAACTCCAAGGGGCAGGACTTTTACACAAAGAATGTTCTAGAAATGGTGATGAGGAGCAAGGGGAATGTTGACTCTGATGGTACTGGGTGTGGGTGAATGAGCAGTATCCACTGTGGCATCAAGGGAAGCCGGGGCTCCTGAAGCCAAAGTAATGGGAAGGACTCTATCCAGGGGCATATGTTGATCAGAGGGAGAAACTTCGGATATGGTGATAGGGTGGGGCAGGAAGGGGCAGGAAGTCATCTCAGGGCCTACAGAGCAGCAAGGGTGCAGTGTGGGGTAGAAAGGGGACTTGATGGCTGGCTAGAGCACCTCACATCACCTTCTGGGGCCTGGCCCAAGAATCTAAGGAACTGGGCAGGGGAAGGGGTTGTTAATCATGATAGTCTAAGTTCCTGGGCCTTCATTCTCACTGTGACCCCAGGGACACAGACCCCAACAGGAAGGGGGACACAGACCCTTCTCCCAGGATGTCCTGAGAGCTAGACAGTAACTGCACATAAAGTGAAAGGGTCTGCAGGTGCCTGGGGCATCCTGGCAACAGCTGGTACTTCCCTGGAGACAGAATAAACTACCCTTGGGCAGCTAAGACCAAGGCCCCAGAGCAGCACACCTAGCAGTTGTTCATGGCCAAGGCCTCCCTGGGGCCCTCCAGTTTTGCAGTGCCAGCAGACGAGTAGGGCAAAGGCATCTAAATCTTCCTCAGTTGAGCCCTGGCCCGGTAGCTCAGTTGGTTAGAGCACTGTGTGGATATGGCAAAGTTGCAGGTTTGATCCCTGGCCAGGGCACATACAAGAAGCAACCAATGAATGCATAACTAAGTGGAACAACAAATCAATGTTTCTCTCTCTCCCTTTTTCTCCCTCTCTAAAATCAATAAATAAATTAAAAAAAAAAATCTTCCTCAGTTGATAAAATACCTGCATCCTCCCACTGGTCCCTAGTGCCCTCAGCCTCTTTGAAGCACCTGGAGCAAGGACAAAACAGACAAAAATCCTTGCCCTCATTGCCCTCCCAGCCTAAAGGGGCAGAGGGACTACAAACCAGATAGATAAGTGGAATAGATAGGGTGTTCAGTGCTTGGGAAAGCAGGGAGGTGGGAAGGGGAAGAAAGAATCAGGGTCATGAGCAGGGCAGGCCTTATCTAGAGGGTGCCCGTGAGCAAAAATCTGATGGGAGGGTGGGACTTCAGAGGAAAGAGCATTCCTGGAACAGGGAGCAGCATATGCAAAGGCCCTGAGGCAGAAGCCTGCTGGTGTTTTGGGGCAATAACAAGGAGGCCAGTAAGAGGGAAGTGGAGTGAGCAAGGGGGCAGGAGAATTTCACATTTTCACAGGTAACTGACTGTAAAAGCTATGAGGATGGAGACAATAGCTTATGCTTCTTAAATCACAGTGCACTATGGCACAGTAGAGGATCCAAAAAGTCCTAGGGCTTCAGAGGAAGGAGAGGCCTCAGGCACTAGGCTGGCCGAGCTGTGCCAAGCACCAGGGGTAGAGGGAAGTCGCTGCAGGCACTTCCTCACAGAAATCATAGGTGTGTTTTCTCATGGGTCTGTCCCCATGCTCTGGACCAGGTATGCTGACTGGGTCTGGCATCAGTGCCTAAATCAGGGCCACTCTTGGAAGACAAGTGCCAATGGGAACAGAGGAGCGCTAAGCCAAAAGGGGTGAGCCAGCCAGGGTTCCAGGACCCTTCACTGCTTGAAGCCCCCAAGAGGAAATGAAACAAGCAGGAATCATGGAAGGAGGGAACTAGCAGAAGGTGTCATGGTGCCCCTGCTCTGGGGTCACGTTGGTACTTCCAGTTGGTCACATGTCAAGAGTTCTTGCAGCCAGCTTTGGAGGGGAGACCCCTCAGTAACAGAGGTGGTGGTGGAGGCAGCTATTAGGATTCAACCTCTTCCCAGTAGCTTCTCTAAGAACTGCAGGGAAACGCAACCTGTCCCAGCCCATTCACTTACTCCTTGCCCAGGGCTGTAGCTCCCACCTGATAGTTTTATACAAGAATTGCTGATTTCTATTATTTTTAATGCCTGTCACTCTTCCTAATGCTTACTTTCCCATTATGTCCAAATATAAGTTCTCCTCAATTATTTTGAATAGCTAATTGCAAATCCAATATTTCATTGTTCCCATTTGTTTTCACTTCCAATTAAAATGTTTCAATAAAGCTTCACTTGTTTGCTAAAAAAAAAAAATCAAAAAAAAAAATCAGGGCCATTCTTCATGTAGAACTGTTGGTGGAAAGTAACTATCCACCTCCAATTAGATCCTTACTCTTGGGGGTCACCCAGAGAGGGACAGACAGTTGAGGGTATGGAAGCCCCAAGGTAGAGCCACCAATAGAAAGAGAATCAGAGAGATTTCTGAAACAAGTCAGGCTCTTTCTATACATGACTGAAAACTCTCTCACTATCAAAATGCATAAATAGAACCCCTTTGAAAGTAGAGCTGTTCTATAGCCCAGGCCAGGTAGCTCAGTTGGTTAGAGTGTCATTCCCATATGCCAAGGTTTCTGTTCCATCCCCGGTCAGGGTACATACAAGAATCAACCAATGAATGCATGAATAGGTGGGACCAACAAATCAATGCCTCTTTTTCTTTCTTTCTCCTTCTCTTTCTCTAAAAAAATCAATCAATAAAAACAAAAACAAAAAGAAATAAAAAGAAAGCAGTGCTATGCTCATAGGAAAGCAAGGCAAATTCCCAGGAGCCTACAGAAAAGCCAGCAGCCAGATGCACCAATGAAATCCCTAGAGACTGAGAAGACAGGTCATGTAGCCAGAGCTCTAGGTGTAGGAAACAAAAGGTCACCTCTAAGAATTGGTAATTATGTGTCTTCGGTTCAAATGAATACTACTGTCAAGTTCAGGTACTCCTCTTCCCCAAACTAAGAGGTGAACATGAAAATGGCCTCCAAGTGATTAATTACCAGGAGTGCTTGGCCAAAACAAAAGCCAATATGCACTGGGGAACTGTACCCTCCTGTTAGGCCATACAGGGTTCCCAGGAAAGTCTGGTCACAAAACCCACAAGGAGCCCTGGCCAGGTGGCTCAAGTGGTTGGAGTATCACTCTGTACACCAAAAAGGGCACATACCTAGGTTGCAGGTTCGATCCCGGGTTGGGGCGCCTAAAGGAGGCAACCAATCAATGTTTCTCTCTCACATCTCTTCCTCCCCACCCTACCCCTTAAAATCAATAAAAACATATCTTTGGGTGAGGATAAAAAACAAACCCACCAGGGCCGGCTGGTGTGGCTCAGTTGGTTGAGCGTTGTCTCATGCACCAGGAAGTTGTAGGTTTGATTGCCGGTTCGATTCCCAGTCAAGGGACATGCTCGGATTATGGGCTCGATTCCCCAATAGGGGCATGCAGGAGGCAGCCAATTCATTGACGTTTCTCTCTCTCTCTGAAATCAATAAAAAATATATTAAGAAAAAAACCCCAACAAAACAAATAAACAAACCCACAAGGAAAGGATTCACCATGAATAAAGACTGGCAGATGGATGATCAAGCTGGCTTAGACCCTCAAGAATTCAGATAACCCAATAGCCAGATAGAGGCTGTGTATCATCAATATGATATACAGCATAAAAGGAGCAGTCAAAAGGTGAGAAAATCAGATATTTGTCAAAACAATTTGAAATTTCCTTTTGAAAACGAAAATTTCTATTTCCAAATTTCTATTTGAAAGAGAATCAAATAGAACTTGATAGAAACAGTCACTGAAATTTAAAAAAAATTCAAATTAGACTCGACTGAAGAGAAAATTGGCAAATCAGTGAGCAGGAAGATCTGAAGAAATCTCCAAGGATTCAGCACAGATAGTATTAGATGGGAAATAGTGAAAAGAGTGGAAAAGCCACAGAGGAGAGAAGGAGAAGTCCAGCAAGAGTTCCAGAAGGATCAAGTGAAAGAACAAGAGTGAGTCAATATTTGAAAAGATAACAGCTGAGAATTTTAATAAACGATTAAAAAAATCTGAATATTCAAAGGCCATACAACTAGTCTCAAGCAGGATAAATAGAAACCCACAGGTTAACACTTCCATGTGAAACAGCAGAATACCAGAGAAAGTAAAGTCTAAAAGCAACCAGAGAGACAATATAGGCTGCTGTGGGGTTAAGCTGATAACAGATTTTCCAGCAGAGACAATAGAATATTGTTAATGGGCTGAGAGAAAATAACTATCGTCCTGGGCTCCCACATCCAGCTAATCTTTAGTTGGGGGGGGGAGGGTAAAACAAAGACATTTTCAGGCAACAAAATAATTGTGAACTGTCCCCGATGAAAGCCTTGCAGAAAGACCCTCTGAAAGATGTCTCTCTGGAGGAAGGTGACTAGGCTGTGAGCAGAGAAATCAGTAAACATGGGGATGGATTTAGATATGCATCAGCATGATAGCAATAGTCAAGTATAAAAACACAGGAACACAAATGTGACACTGAGCTACATCAACCCATCAGCTGGGGCTGGTCCTCGTGTTAAAGTATTCTCCTCCAAGAGGAGGAGGAGCCATCGATTTTCAACCTTTCTCATCTCATGGCACATAAGCTAATTACTAAAATTCTGCAGCACACCAAAAAATATACTATATTTTTTGCCGATCTGATGACAAAAAATAGGTATAATTTTGATTCATTAACACTGGATGGCTATTGTGTTGGCTGTTATCATTTTTTGTTTGTTAATCCTCACATGAGGATATTTTTTTCCATTGCTTTTTCAGAGAGAATGGAAGAGAGGGAGGAAGGGGGAGAGAGAGAGAGAAACATCGATGTGAGAGAGACACATCTACTGGTTGAGTGAACCCACAACCCTTCAGTCTGCTGGCCAATGCTCTTACCACTGAGCAACACCAGCCAGGGCTGTTGTCGTTTTTTTATTTGACAACCTAAGGGAAATGAGGTCAGTGCCCCTGACTAAATAGTCAGTTACTGCATATTTTAAAAATTCTTGTGGCATACCAGTGTGCCACGGCACACCAGTTGAAAATCACTGACTTAGACTGTTCTCAGTGTGCACACAAGTTAACCTTTGAAAGGGCAACCATGAAATAGAAGGAATATGTTGCAAGCCAGTAGAGGAACAAAATGAGAATCCTGAGAATCCAATCGATAAAGTAACAGGCAGAAGAGGCTTCCCAATCCCCCCAGGCCTTAGGGCAGAGGTCTCTAGCCTCTGCAACCTGCGAGAGTTGTTTGAGGCCTGGGAAAGTCAAGGCCCAGGGATGAAGGGGCTTGCTCAAGGTACTTCCCCATCCTCCCACCTTCCAGTCATAGTTGGTTGAGGACAGGCATAACTGGGTGAGGGTACGTGCACCTGGTGAGGGTACCTGTGGTATTCCTGTCACAGTCCCCGGTCTCAGGTGAGAAGTACCAAGAAGCATGAGATACTGAAAAGGGGAGACTCACACAAAGTGGAAGGCAGCAAGGGAGAGTGTGACCTGTGGTGATCTCTAGGAAGCCAGCCAGGCCTCAAAGCCTCAGCAGTGGAAGGCGCAGATGGGCCAGCTGAGCACTGGACCCTCCAGAGCCTAGCACCCAGTGGTCCAGGAGGACAGGGCCCTGCCCCCACCCCCTGGGAGTGCTGACTCTCACCTGACTCTGAGTAGCCAGTGGCGGTGATTATGGGAACTGCCACCATGAGCAGGCCTGAGGCACTCCACACATACTTCATGAGGAACTGCTCCAGCATGACATACCACAGGCGCTCTAGCAGGATGAGATTGATCTGGGAAGCCAGGGCCTTGTAAGAGTGCTGCAGCAGGGCCAGCTCCACCTGCCAGGGAGAGGCGACAGAGACAGCCTGAGAGGCCTTGTGGTAATGAACATGGGGGCGACAGCAAGAGGTCCCAATTGCCAAGGGCACATATGCCATGCCACCTGGTGGCTAAGACAAGGCTGAGAGGTGGGAGTTATGACTGGGCCACATTTACAGTAGAAAGGTCTTAGACTCCAGGTGGGGAGGCAGTATGGGATTGTCTGACATAACAACACTGGGGTACAGAGGGGTGAAGAATGACCCCAACTGTTGAGGCCCATTTTGGTCCTGTCTTTCCACTACCTCTCTAGTTGGGTAGCTCACTTTGCCTGTTTCTTTGGGTAACTGCTGGAGGACTAACCTGAACTCAGCAAAAGGCAGTGCTTCATTTTGAAGAACTTGATTCAACAGTTTACTTACGCCTACTTAGGCCCTGTCTCCTGCTACCTTCCCCAGGGATCCTCTGGGTGAGAAACTTCCACTGCATTTTCCCACTGAAACCTGGAGGGCATGCTCCTGAGCCAGCCCTGCAGGACTCACCCTCTAATGGTCAGCTGAGTGCTCCAGTGGGGTGGGCCTCTCCTATCCTATCCTCCCCTCCCTTCCCCATTCCTGCACTGGCCACCACCTGCCATCTCAGAATGGGTACCAGCCTGGAGAAGAGAGAGCAGGAAAGGGAGTGGGAGAGAAAGAGACTCTCCCATGGCAGTACCGTCCAGATAGGCAGGGGGGCTGGAGGTGTCAGGAAGTGGTCACGGCAAGGTGGCCATTGGGTTATGGATTTCTTGGCTCAGTACAGAAGTGTGCATCCCAGCTCTACCTTCCTAGCCCTGACTGACAATAGCTGCCCAGCCTGGCACCATTTCTTTTGCCAAGTGCTTTTGCACTTAACTCTCCATTTGATTCTCACCACATGCTACGCTACCTTCATTCTCGTTTCCATTGTACAGTAGAATATTACAGAAGCCCAGACCTGCCCAAGTTCACACAACTTAAAGGTAGCAAGAGGTGTGGAATTTGGACCACACTGGCAGAGCCATCAGGAAAACCAGATTTTTGGAAATGATGCTTTGATGTATTAAGAAAGGTTTACCTTGTTATCAAGCCAGCAAGAGGCTGTGTGTATGTGTGTGTGTGTGTGTGTGTGTATGTTTCTGAGATTTCTCATTGAAATCTCAGTAAGAAGAGAATACTCTGCTGTCTGTCTACCAGCCAGCCAGTCACCTCTGCCTTAACCTGTTAGTCTGAGCCTGGGCCAGCGTCCACTGGGACACCAGCCAGTGGGACTAGGATGAGCCACATGCCTGCACAATAAGGAAAATTGACTCACCCATGGTGGCCTGTTATCCCATGCTGCTTTCCAGCCCTTTGGCAGAGGCCTAAAGAGACAGTGAACACATACTGCCTCCCCCTACCCCTATTGAACTCTCCTGGCGAACATGCTACTTCCTGAAGCTAGCCTAGAGGAAGTCCCTCAAAGAGCAAGTGATCTCTCTGCCCTCACCATATAGGTCCTCTGCATCCTGTGGTTCTGCCTCAAGCCCAATTTCCTGTTCCTGAAGTGAGTACGCCGCCTCTGAGCACCCTGGCAATCCTGACTTGTGCTGGGAGCTGGCAGGAGTGCCAGCTGGGGCTGACAATGTAGCTGCGGGTAATGTGCCAAGCGCCTCACCCAAGGCCACGGCTGCCTGCCAAGGACCTGCAGCCCGCATGAGCGAGAGGATAAGGGGGTTGAAGCTGCAGACCAGGCGCTTTTCTCCTAATCTGGAGTCTGATATACAGCCAGTGAGACAAGGTCCAGGGGCAAGAGGTCACCTGACCCAGGGAGGACACATAGGCCTTCAGGAGGTGGATGCCATTGCACCCCTCCCCCAGAAGTACTCAGAACCGAAACCAGAGTTGCTGGGAGCAGGGGGCAGGGCCCTGAGGCAGCTGCAACCCCAGGCATGAGGAAGAGGAGGGGCTAGGGTGAGATAAGGGGAGCATTGGCCTGCAGTAACCTTTCCCAGCACCCAGCTCCTGGCGGTCCCTGCCCCTACCCTGCCTTGGCCCACTGGGGAACTGAGCCCTGGGACACAGGCGGAAGGACAGCCATGCCGGGGGGCAGGGTGGCCACTGGGCGGGCAGGAAGTGCGTCGCTCCGAGGTGGCGGCCTGGGCCCTGCATCTCTGGCTCAGGGCCTCAGGGAGGCGTCTGAGCTGGCAGCCCAGCTGGCCCTTGAGCTCAGGCAGAGTAGCCATTGACCTGGAGTGCTGAGTGCTGCTACTGCTGCGGCCACCTCGCTGGGTGCTGCTTGTTAACCTCCACTTGGGCTGAGTCATGCCCATAATGCCTGCCTGCCTGGCCAGCCAGCTCAGCTGGACGCCAGCCTTCAAAGGGCCTTGGGGCCCAGGAGGGGCTGGGCAGCAGGCCATGTTCCACCATCCCTGATCCCAGACAGCAGGAGCCTCCTTCCAGCTGACTACAGGAATGGGGCGAGCCAGGAGCTCTAGCATCTCAAACCGCTAGGATCTGCAGCTCCAAGGCCAGGACAGCCTCAATGAGGAGAGAAAGCAGAAGTGACCAGGCAGCTGTTCCAGGGCAGTCCCCACCCAGCCTTCCTGCTTCTCCATTTCTGTGTCTAAGTCTGGGCTGCCCAAGGCCCTGGCCATCCCGTCTCCCTCTTCTGTGGCCTGCCCACACCTCTGGCATCAACCCCAGTCAGCCCTCGGCTTTCCCCACCACTCACAGTTGCCTGCCCCTGGGCCTCCCAGCCACATGCTTTCCTCCATGCTCAGCACCCCAACCTGCCCCACCTCATGGCCCCCATAGAAGGCGATCTCCTCTGAGTTGGCCACCACGCGAGAGTGCATGTACCGCAGCTCCCCCTTCCTTCGTGCCTCCTCTGCCACCAGCTCCCCAAACTTGGGTGAGAAGGCTCGCAGCACGTTAGCTGTGAGAAACACCACGAGGCCAGCAATGGCCGAGGGCCAGGCCGTGCCGGCCCCACGGGAGCGAGCCGTTTGAAGCAGGGTATAGGCAGTCACGGCCACATCCAGGAGTGGCTTGGTCAGGTTGGAGTACAGGTGCGCCACAGAGGCAGCAAAGGCCACCACATCCTCCGTCAATGACTGGTCAGGGTTTCGAAGCCGCCCATCCATGTTGCTGACTCGGTAGTAGGTCTGCTGGGAGAAGTAGAGGCTGTAGGCATGGGCCACTAGACGGCTTCGGAAAGACAGGGTCAGCTGGCCCTCCAGGTAGCGGATGGCACTGTTGATGAAGGTGGCTGGAAGGGCGATGAGGAGCCATTGCAGGAGTTGCCAACCAAAGGCCTGGGGGTCCTTGCGAACGATGCAGCGGGCCAGACGCCCATCCAGGCGGGCCACATATACTGACAGGAAAGTTCGGCTCACCAGGGCTGCTGAGTGCAGTGCCAGTAGCCCTGTCTCCCGGCATAGGATCCTGGGGAAGAGCAGCCTGAGGAGCCACAAGAGTCGCTGCAAGAACACTCGGTTCACACCGGCTTTGGCCGCTGTGGCCACTGTGGCTGACGTGGCCCCTGAGGTCTCTTGCGTGGACTCCCCTGCAGGCACTTGAGGGCCTCTGGCCGGAGCCAGGCACTGCCGCACCAGGGGGTAGATTTTGTGGGCTCCATAGGCCGTGAGGGCCAGGACCACAGCTGTGCGCTTCAGCGTGGACACCCGCGAGGGCCGGGGGGTGGAGAGCACCGGCATGTCACCTGGGCTGGATGCACGGGGCTGGGACTGGTGTCTGAGCCAGCAGTCGAGGCAGGTGGCTGGAAGGGTTGTTGCTCTGACCCCGGCTCGTTGTCTAGGCAACTGGAAACCTTGCAGTGGTCCCTGAGACTGTTGCTCTAGGCCACCGGGGCGGTGCTGGGGCCCCTGGTGCGGTGGGCTCAGGTCCCTCCAGGGTCGCGGCCTCTTCAGGCGGCGGAGGTGGAGGAACTTATCAGTCTCCTAGCCCCTGGGGTCAGAACCTCGAGAAGGCTCGAGCAGAGAGGGCGTCTCTTCCTCTCCACCTCCTCCACCTCCTCCTCCTACCCTGGTGGCGCCCCTCCCCGGGGCAACAGGCGCGTCAGTCCTCTCCACAGCCAGGCTGAAGCGACATTGACTCAGCCACCGCCCAGAATCCCCACCTACCCACCCCTCTCCAG